GGATCAGGCCCTGGGCCGAAGGTGGCGCTAAACCGCTGAGCCACCCGGGGTGCCCTCAACATGCGTTTTTATTTGTGACCTTCTCTGGACTCCCCAAGGGCAGGGACCCAAGAATTGTTTCTCTCTGTGACCTCATCTCCATAATAGTTTAGGAATAAATGAATAACCCTTATGATAAACTGTCTCTAAAATGGATCCTAATGATCCTCACCCTCCAAAGGGTTTTCATTCCCTAGAGTAATCCCTGCTACTCCTTGAGTGTGGTAGACCTAGTGAATTGCTTCTAATGAATAGAATATGGCAAAAATGACCAGATGTCACTTCTAAGATTACACGAAGACTGTGACTTGATTGCCGTCTTCTGTGTTTTCTGTCTCTCTTTCTCAGCATTTGCTCTTAGGGAGTAAGGTGCCACGTTATAAGTGGCCTTAGGAGAGGCCCACAAGGCAAGGAACTGACGTCTTTGGCCAACAGCTAGTGAGAACCTGAGGCCTGCCAACAGCCATGTGATGACCTTGAAAACAGATACTGTGAGACCTGCCAATAGCCACATGAGTGAGTTTGGAAGTGGATCCTCCTCCACTCAAACTCTGAGATAACTGCAGCCCCAACCAATACCCTGGTAACGGTTTGCTGAGCAACCCCAAGCCAGGGGATGTAGCTAAGCCCATCCTGATTCCCAACGTACAGAAACTGTGAAATATTAAACGTCTGTTGTTTTAATCTGCTAAATTTGGGGGGTAATTTGTTATACAACATAGATAACTAATGTGACCCTCAAGCATCAAGAGAAATGATCAAACAGATTGAACGATATAAATCACCTCTACTGGGTGGGGCCTAGCACACCTATCAGGACTTCAGCATGGCTGCCCTCTTATTCAATCTAAACATCTCTAACTTTCATTACAGTTGGAAGTCTGCTTAGGGATAACAATGTTCCCATTCTGGGAATGATCCAACACCCCAAACTAAAATGAAAGGAACTCAATGGCAACTTGGCAACTTGAAATTCCAAGTCCTTAATGTTATAAAGTCAAAAATTGTCTGGTAAAAGGCCAAAAAGGAAGTATATGTTAAAAGCTGCCCTTTCTGGTCTCACATGAGTAATTCTTGCAGCTGGAGTTTCACTACAACCACAGGGTTGTGGTACCACGAAGGTGGCCATTTTCAAATCTGGCCTGACATCAGAATGTAATTCAACTAGATAAACCTGGGACTTGGCCAAAATAAGTAGCATTTACATAACTGGAGCCAATGAATACCATCACTTTTCTATGAGACCATATGACTATGATGTGAAGAAATAAAAGCCTTTGTTGTTTTAAAGGGCAGGGACAATTGGAAGTTTTGCAGCAGACAGTTACAAAATTTTCCACCCTTAGCTCTCCAAAGAAGATACCAGTTAGTGGCTTTGGGAGTTGGGTGTGGAAAGAATTGCTTGGAAAAGAAAATTAAATTGATCCTGGACAGAATGTGAACCAACACTACTACATTTATCATAGAGTCTAAAGTAGGCTATTTAGCCCCCTACATTGTGAACTGGCTTTTCTGATCTACATCCCTTTATTACTCAGCTCCTTGAAATCATAGAATTCTGCATCGGGCAAGGCACAGAAGGCTACCACACCCCTCTCACAAACAGCGAATTCTTATTTTTCAGAATAATTTTTTAGTGGGTTTTTAAAAATCACTTTAGAAAACAAAACACTCCAAAAATTAGTCTTTGCTTTTATGCTTTTTGCACTTGTCTGCTCACAGTGCTCTCGGACTCAGGATTCACATCGGTGATCCTTTCCATCTGGGATAGGTTTTCTGCAACTCATGTAGACTGTAGACTTTTTTTTTTTTATTTCATTCATCTCTTGTATTTTCTTAAAGGGTTCTCCTTTTTTCTTTTTAATTATCCCTATTACCTATCATCAGGGAGCTGTCTGGGGCTATAATATGGGGAGTAAAAGCTCATCAACTAAACTGGTTTTAGCTGTATTTGAGACAGAGTATTTTATCCTGTCGGTTTTCATTTTATTTGATGACAGTGCTTGCAATTTCTCCCTCAATAAGCAAAGATGACTTAGATCAGTGGCCTGATGAATAAGCATGAAAATTTGATTTAGAAAAGGAGGATATCCAGAAGCTCACAGAGAGAAAAAAGAATTTCCAACCCCCTACCACACACACTTTAAATGACAAAGCAAAGCAGCAGCATTGTCTTTAAACAACATCTTTCAAGGCAATATCAATGCTCCCCAATGTTAGGTAGTAAGAATAATAATTTAGAAAGAAAAAGAGAAGCCTTTAAATATATATAGGGAAGGAATAAAATATTTTTAAAGTAAATGTCATTAATCCTTTGTATTAACTTGGGGCAGATAACCCAAAAGAAAACAAATAAGATCCTGGGTGTGAGGGGGGAAACTGATGCTTGGGAAGAAAGAAAAAAAGGGGGGGGGATTCCTGTTGAGCAGCGGATGGAGAATGTGAGCTGTCTGACACCCTACCTTGGCCCAAATGATTCCGCTCTCCAGATCCATTAACAAGAGTGGGAAAGGACAAAGAACTGTGAAGTGGTAGGTAAGATGCTCAGTAAACTTCAGTAATAGAAAATAAAGAAAAACAGAGGAAGCCAAAGTCTCCAACAGAAGGGAACCCAATGAATTGTCTTACATTTCAGAACCTGTTTTTTCTTGCTGGAAAAGCAGCTCACCCGAGTCAGCAAAAGCAGCAACTTTTACAAACACGCAACCTGATCAGAAATCTCACAGGGTCCAGCGCCTGGAACTGAGGCTGGCAGAAGGAAAGGCTCAGCCAGGAGTAACGTTTTCTTAAGCATAGTATTGGGTGTGCATGTGTGTGTGCGTGTGTGTGCATGTGCGTGTGTGCACGTGCGCATGTGTGTGTTTGCATGTGTGTATCAGAGACAGTGAGAGACATTTAGCCTTTCTCAAACTGTCACTTTCCTGCATGGGAATTCGCGATACTCCCTGCTTCCCGGAGAGAGGGGAGAACCCCCCCCCCCCGGTGAATTCTGACCTCTGAATTCTGACCTCGCCCGGAGTAACCGGGGAGCTCACGGGAGCGCCCAGTGCCGCGAGCAAGACCGAAGATTTGACCGGGAACAAAAGACCGCTAGCCCGTCAGAAAACGCCACTGGAGCACACGGGTAACCTCTCTTTGTGTTCTGAAAACTCCTTAATTAGCAAGTGCCCTGGTTTCTAACACGCATTAAAACTCCTCTCCGCGCGTCTCAACTACAGGATCAGGTCGCTGCTGCTGCAGCGCAGAGGGGACCCCGGGTGGCCACGCGCCCGAGATCCAGGGAAAGCTCCGCAGTCCAAGACGCGCTTCAAGCCGTCCTGTGTGCCCGGGCGTTCGGTCTCAGGTACTTTAAAATCATCCCTCCCCACGTCCCCCCGCCAACCCCTAGTTTTCCTGGAGCTGCTCTAAAGCCACAGCAGATTGCTAGGCTCCGGGCCGCGCGCGCGGGCGGGGCGGCCTGGGGGCCCCGGGGGCCCCGAGCCCCCTAGGAGGGGTCTGCACTTCCTCCCGCTTAAGTCGGCCCCCTCCTCCCGACTCCAGTCCCTGGGACGCGGGGCCCCTCCTCCCTCCTGCAGCCGGGAGAGGGGGGTGCGAGGGATTGTGGCCTCACGTGGTCTGTTTGGGTCTGGGGAGAAAAGGGCGACCTGGGAGGCGCACCCTTCTCGCTCGGTACCGAAGCCCGCACTTAGGGTCCAGCTGCCCCCGAAGCGCCCTGCCAATCCCAGCGCTGCCGGCCCGGGCAGGGCCACCGTGACTCCGGGTCACGTCCCTCTGCTCTGTTCCCAGCGGCTCCCAGGAAAGCCTCCCTCGCTGCGCCCTCCAGCTCGAGACGAGTGTTTTAGCGGACCCGGAAGAGGAACACATCTTTATAAGCCAATTCCCTTTCTGGTGCGTTTTACCCCCCCACCCCCCACCCCTCGAGCGAATTCACCGTAAAAGTTTTTCTGAACTTTTCCGTCCCGGCCCCCTGCCCCTCCCCTCAGGAATCCGCCCAGAGCGCTGCAGGCTCCGCCCCCCCGGGCCTCCCTCGCCCCGCCCTCCAGACTTCCACCCAATCCGGAGGCCGCCACACGGAAAACAAAGGCTGCCATTGGGCCGCCCTGGAGCCCGAGGGCCCGCCCCCGGCGTGGTTTGTGAATGGGGGGAGGGGAGGGGGCGGGGCGGCCCGGGGCCCCGCGAGCCCGACGCTTCTTCTGGTGAGTTGCGCGACTCCGAGGCGTTACTCTGCGCTCCCTCCCGGCGGGCGGCGGCGGCGGCGGCGGCGGCGGCGGCGGCGGGCGGGCGGGCGGGCGCCGGGACACTCGGGCTGGGGCTTCGCGAGGCTGGAGAGGCCAGGCCCAGGCCGCGGGCAGCGGGCCCTCGCGGCTTCCGACGCAGTGCGACTGGATTTCCAAAAAGAACTCGCTGAGCTCTTGGCTGCAAAGCGCCGATCGGACTCGGAGCGAGGATCGCCCGCTTGGCAGAAACTTGGGGGCCGAGCTCTCGGGGCTGGAGAAGGAGCGGGGGAGTAGGAAAGGCGGCGGCGGCGGCGGCGGCGAGCAGAGCCTCGAGGCGAGGAGGCGGAGCAGCACCGCCTCGGCGGCGGCCTCGGCTCACGGGCGGCGGCGCCGGCTCTCGCCCGCCGGGGGCCGGACTCGGCGTGGGGGGCGCGTGCGCTGCCGTGCGCTGTGGCCCGGCCGACTTTGGGCAAACTTTGAAGGGTAACCCGAGACGCTTGTTGCTCCTCGCCGCGGAGAACGCCGCACCGTTACGTCGCAGCGGGAGAAGGCGGCGGCCCCGGTCCGCGCCCCCGGCCCGGGCCGACGAGTCCGGGGCTCCCGGCTGCCGCCCCGCTGCTGGGCGGAGACGGCGGCGGCGCCCCCGCGGCGCGGGCACCCGGGCTGCAGCGCCCTGAGCTCCGCGCCGCCCACGCCCCGGCCGCGGCGCCGGGAGGACTCTCATGCGCCGGGCGCGGCCGCGCCTCCCCGGATCCAAGCCTCTCGCGGCCGCGTCGTCGCGCTGCTCGGGCTGAGAGCGCCGCCGCACCCGTGGCCGGCGATGCGGGGCCCCGGCGCGGCCGCGGCGCGCTCGCCCCTGGGCCTGTGCACCCTGGCGCTTGCGCTGCTGGGCGCGCTGCCCGCCGGCGCCGGGGCGCAGCCGTACCACGGCGAGAAGGGCATCTCGGTGCCGGACCACGGCTTCTGCCAGCCCATCTCCATCCCGCTGTGCACGGACATTGCCTACAACCAGACCATCCTGCCCAACCTGCTGGGCCACACGAACCAGGAGGACGCGGGCCTCGAGGTGCACCAGTTCTACCCGCTGGTGAAGGTGCAGTGTTCTCCCGAGCTGCGCTTCTTCCTGTGCTCCATGTACGCGCCCGTGTGCACCGTGCTGGACCAGGCCATCCCGCCGTGCCGCTCCCTGTGCGAGCGTGCCCGCCAGGGCTGCGAGGCGCTCATGAACAAGTTCGGCTTTCAGTGGCCCGAGCGGCTGCGCTGTGAGAACTTCCCCGTGCACGGCGCCGGCGAGATCTGCGTGGGCCAGAACACGTCCGACGGCTCGGGGGGCGCGGGCGGCGGCCCCACGGCCTACCCCACTGCGCCCTACATGCCGGACCTGCCCTTCACCGCCCTGCCCCCGGGGGCAGCTGACGGCAGGGGCCGCGCTGCCTTCCCGTTCTCGTGCCCCCGCCAGCTCAAGGTGCCCCCCTACCTGGGCTACCGCTTCCTGGGCGAGCGCGACTGCGGCGCCCCGTGCGAGCCGGGCCGAGCCAACGGCCTGATGTACTTTAAGGAGGAGGAGAGGCGCTTTGCCCGTCTCTGGGTGGGCGTGTGGTCGGTGCTGTGCTGCGCCTCGACGCTCTTCACCGTGCTCACCTACTTGGTGGACATGCGGCGCTTCAGCTACCCCGAGCGGCCCATCATCTTTCTGTCGGGCTGCTACTTCATGGTGGCCGTGGCGCACGTGGCCGGCTTCCTGCTGGAGGACCGCGCCGTGTGCGTGGAGCGCTTCTCAGACGACGGCTACCGCACGGTGGCGCAGGGCACCAAGAAGGAGGGCTGCACTATCCTCTTCATGGTGCTGTACTTCTTCGGCATGGCCAGCTCCATCTGGTGGGTCATCCTGTCGCTCACCTGGTTCCTGGCAGCCGGCATGAAGTGGGGCCATGAGGCCATCGAAGCCAACTCGCAGTACTTCCACCTGGCCGCGTGGGCTGTGCCCGCTGTCAAGACCATCACCATCCTGGCCATGGGCCAGGTGGACGGGGACTTGCTCAGCGGGGTGTGCTACGTGGGCCTGTCCAGCGTGGATGCGCTGCGGGGCTTCGTGCTGGCGCCCCTGTTCGTCTACCTCTTCATTGGCACGTCCTTCCTGCTGGCCGGCTTCGTGTCCCTCTTCCGTATCCGCACCATCATGAAGCACGATGGAACCAAGACCGAGAAGCTGGAGAAGCTCATGGTGCGCATCGGCGTCTTCAGCGTGCTCTACACGGTGCCAGCCACCATCGTCCTGGCCTGCTACTTCTACGAGCAGGCCTTCCGCGAACACTGGGAGCGCACCTGGCTCCTGCAGACGTGCAAGAGCTACGCGGTGCCCTGCCCGCCTGGCCATTTCCCGCCCATGAGCCCCGACTTCACTGTCTTCATGATCAAGTACCTGATGACCATGATCGTGGGCATCACCACCGGCTTCTGGATCTGGTCCGGCAAGACCCTGCAGTCTTGGCGCCGCTTCTACCACAGACTCAGCCACAGCAGCAAGGGGGAGACTGCGGTATGAGCCCCGGCCCCTCCCCCACCCTCCCTTCCCCCATCCCCAAGCAGGGGGAGAGACGTGGGAAGGAGAGAACTGTTGAGGGGGGTGGGGTTCTGGAACCTGCACACCCCCCGCCCCCTTCCAATGAGAAGTGACCTGGAAGAGAGATGATAGTTGTAGATTTGGGGCGAGGAGTGGGTTTGGAAAAGGAGGCCTGGGTGGAAAGACGGTTTGGATGAAAAGACTTATGGCAAAGACTTGGAGAAAGAGGATGATGATGATGATGATGGTGATGATGGTAAGGCTGATGTTAATAATCACGCCAGGTGCGGGGCCAACCTGGGCCTATCGAGATTGAGCCCAGCAGAGATGGCTCTGAGTTCTTCCTGGCCCCGGGGCTGAACTGAGACTGAGCGATTCCCCTGCTGCAAGACAAGTGGCCTGTCCTCACTCCTGTGAGGCCCGGGTGAAAGGTACAGCTCTGTCTGCGGCGGCGGCTTTGTTGGGAAAAGGGAGGACTCCCTGCGGTGTCCTTGTCAAGCGGTGGTCAAACCATAATCTCTTTTCACTGGGGCCAAACTGGAGCCCAGATGGGTTAATTTCCAGGGTCAGACATTACAGTCTCTCCTCCCCTGGCCCCTCCCGCCTGTTTTTCCTCTCCTACTCCTTTCAAGTCTTGTAAAATAAGCATTTGGAGGTCTTGGGAGGCCCGCCTCCTAGAATCCTAATGTGAGGATGCGAAAGAAATGAAGATAAACATTTAGAGATGAGGCAAAGGAGATGAGTAGTAGGTATTTCTGCTTTTTTATTTTCTGAGGAAGGCAGAAGGAAGAAGGTATTTTATTTGGTTTAATACCCTGAAAAGAAGTGATGACTTGTTGCTTTTCAAAACAGGAGTGCATTTTCCCCCTTGTCTTTGTTGTAAGAGACAAAAGAGGAAACAAGTGTCTCCTGTAGAAAGGCATAACTGTGAAGACAGCAACTTTTATAGGCAAAGTAGCACAAGTCAGAGGTTTCCCTTTGGATGTTAATTTGGCTGAGATAAACATTCCTTTTTAAGGAAAAGTAAACGGCACCATGCTTCCATACCCCAGTCAGAGGTTCTGACTTGGCTAAAGGAAATGCAGGGGGTTTTGTTGTATTTGTTTTAAATAAATTTAACTCAGAACACACAATCCTATCTGCAGGCTCTGTTCAGATGTTCAGGGAAATCTCTCCCTTTATTATTATTTTTTTCTTCCTATAAACCTGCCTTTAGGTTTTCTATTTTCTTCTGATTTGAATCCTTCAAGATAAAAGGAAAAGCATAATGCCCTCAGCCTCCATAATAAAGAAGTTAAAATTTTTAAAAAGTAAAGAACCATTTTGTCCTGTTTTCTTAGTTCCATAAATCCGTTTATAAAACATCATGTGTATGCTGACCCTGTCTTTGTGTGGCTGGGTGGGGAGGTGACCTGCAGAAACGGCAGTGAATGAAGGGGACAGTTCAAACCATGGGTCCCATTTTTAAGGAAAGTCATTAAAAGAAGGTAAACTTCAAAGTAATTCTGGAGTTCTTTGAAATGTGCTGCATGACTTAAATTTATTAATCTTAAATCATGTACTTTTTTTTTCTATAATAGAACTGATTCTTTTGCATAATGCTCTAAAGCTGAGCAGAGAATCATGGGAGGTAACCTTTATTCCACCTTTGACACCACCCTTCAATCTTGCAACACTATTATATTTCTCAAAACAATTTTTAAATGCTGTTTTAAACAGTTTTTAAACCATAGAGGGTACTGTCAGGAGTACACGTTACTTTATATATGTAATGTTCAGTTGAGTGGAGCTGCTTTTTATATTAAAGTTAACATCGACCTTGTATTTCTTAAACCTCCAAAATGAGTCTCATTTGTCAGATTTGAAATGTCCACTACACAGTTTTTGGCATCTTTTGTGTTGTATCTCTTGCATGTGAAATTTGTAAAATAGAGACAAGTGCAGTATGTATATTTTGTAAATCTCCCATTTTTGTAAGAAAAATATATATTGTATTTATACATTTTTACTTTGGGTTTTTGTTTTGCTTTAAAAGTCCACAAGGAAGCCCCACTTTATCACATGTACAGATCACAAAATAAATTTTTTTAATACAAAGTGAATGTTTATTTAGTTTATAATTCCTATATATCTTTAAGCCAAAGAACAGAACTCTGTGTTATGAAAAGGTATAGAGGGATACCATTGGCTCTGTCCCTCATGTAGATGTTCTATATTTGAAGTCTTTTCCTTGCCCTTTAAAATACAGTGTAATGAATGCCTTATCTGTCCTTTAATTTTTTCTTTTTCTGTTGCTGCTTCCTGCCTACCACCACACTACCATTCCACACATCCCTAAGCCTTTTAGTATCCTGCTTTGGATAACTTATGGAAGGTATAGAATAGGCCATCTCGTTAAGAGAAGTGCTTATCCGATCCATGTTTTTACCACTCTTCAAAGATGCAGACCATATTTGAAAGAGGACTGGAAGATATTTTCGGTCTGCTTTTCTGGTGATGTTTTCCGTGGGAAGAATTCAGTGAGTATATTTTGTTTGTCTGTGTATGTTTCTTTTTTAAATTGTTTTTGTATTCCAATGCACCTTACCTAATTTGTTAATTCTTAAATCCTTTCGGGTCTTGTGGCTGGAAAGTCAGTAGAGGGTTCCAGTTAATAGCAAAGGCCTTTGGGATGGAGCCTTCTCAGCTGTAGGCTTCACTCTACCTTCTAGGTCAACTGAACCAGAGGTCAAGTGATTCCCCGAGGTGGCAGTGACTCAGCAGCTCCGGCAGGAATAGACTCCGGCCTGACCCCAGGATGGCCTCAAGCCACTGAAGCTATTCTTTTCTCTTTTCGGAGAGGCTAACTTTGGAATCAGATTAGACTGAGAAGCCTTCCTATCCAGCCACTTTGATATTAAACAGTCCCTCAGGGAAATGATAAAGGCATTCTAAATACTTCCAATTCCAAGCCTCACTCGCTTGCCTTTTTTTTTTTTTTTTCTTCTTCCCTACTCGTTTCTCTGCTTTAATTCAGGTGCCTATTTCCTGGCTTTTCCTAACAGTTGCTTCATTCTTGGGCAGCCATCAAGACCCAGCAGCAGACTGGACGCTGCTGTTTCTCCTTCCCTGCTTCAGCTCTAAGCTTCTGTACTTCTAAAGCTCAACAGAAACAGTTCTGTTTTTGTTTTAATTAACAGGCTTGCTCACATGGCTGGTGTGTTTTACAAACACACAGAAGGAAAACCAGTGACAGTCCTCACCAGGAGGAGGAAGCCACGCCGCTGCACTCTGTGCAGAGCATCTTTTAAGATCCTCCTGGGTTTTGAACATCACAATGGCTGTGAGGTCATCTTAACCTGTGAAGATTTTGGCATCAAGGAAGGAAAAAAATAGCGACTTAAAGGCTCTTTAGGTTTATCCAGTTTTTGCTCATAAAGTGACACCTTTTAGGTTAAAGCATGCCTCTTTTAACACCACACTAATACCTCCTGTTAAGAATGTTTGCTTTTAGAGTAGGTCGAAGGCTCCCGATGGGGTTTTTTGCTCACAAATTAACTGCTAAAGGCACTTAGACCTTTGTGTGGGGAGAGCTGTGTGACTGCTCCTATAAATGTGTCCCCCCTCTTGTCGGAGCTGCCTCGTTCTTCAGGGTGCTCAAAGATTGAAGAGCCTTGGTCTTTGGTGAGGGAACAAAGACTGTATGAATAAATTACTACCTGCTTTTTTGTAAGCAAAGATAAAAGTGTTCAGTCTAATTCCTTTCACATAGGGGTGCGCCCTTACACAGTTGATTCTTACCTAAGAATTTTAGAAGCTCGCAGATTTTTAAAGAGACACATCTTAGCAGAAAATATGTGAGGGAGACTGTTCATGAAAGGGCATGTGTAGGGTTTAAGAAAAACATTGGCAGTAGTTTGGTGTTAATCCCTAGATAAGGAGCAGAAACACTTGTGAAAATTTTCTGTAGTTGATAAAACAAAATTATTTACACAATAACCATACGCAACACCTAATCTTTTTGAGTAGGTATGTGAGAAATCATGGCAATAAATAAATGTCCTGTGGATGACATTTGCCATTAAAGATTTTTTTTTAAGTGTGCTTAATAAAAAGTAGTGATATTAGAAATTCTCTTGGTAGAACTACAGGAGTGTAGCAGCTGTAGGTTTGAGCCCTGTAATCACACTGGGAAATTCTCTTCTAACTCATCTTTAATTTCACTGAAAAGGCAGGTAGCTATTTATAGATGGTATATTTTTATATATGCATATGTGGGTGGTGCATAACAGTCTATAGGGCTCCAGGAAATCCTAGAAGGGACCACAAGCACACCAATGTGGACTTAACAATTCATAGGCCTATTCTCTTTTTCTATTACTTCACCCCTACTGGCATTAAATTGATTTCATAAACCTTGCTCCCAGTGTGTGACATTTCTTACATCTGAAACTGTATTCCTCACATTTATACAAAAATGAACTAGTTAAGAGGGCACATGAAAATGTCAAATCTTTGGTAACCACACATTGTGCCTCTTATTCTCTTCAGAAAAAAAAAGTTGAGTCACTTGTAGTTTTCTCAGTACAACAGTGGTAGAAAAAAGGAAGTTTGTCCAAGACAATAGTAGTCTACCATTAACTGATCCACTTCAAGAAGCACTGCTGCAGATTCAGTCGGATCTGGGCAGCAGCCACAACAGCTCTCCTCTCCTCTGACCCATTTTGCTATCTCCCTTTGCTTCCGGAAGCATGGCCTCTGGCGTGGCGGTTCCAACGGTGTCATCAAAGTGTTCAATGAGATGAAGGTGTGTAAGTTCCCAACACCAGAGGAGGTGAAGAAGCGCAAGAAGGCAGTACTTCTCTGCCTGGGCGAGGACAAGAAGAACATCATCCTCAAGGAGGGCAAGGAGATCCTGGTAGGTGATGTGGGCCAGACTGTAGACCACCCCTACGCCACCCTTGTCAAGATGCTACCAGACAAGGACTGCTATGTCCTCTATGACACAATCTATGAGACCAAGGAGAGCAAGAAGGAGGGCCTGGTGTTTATCTTCTGGGCACCTGAGTCTGCACCCCTTAAGAGCAAAATGATTTATGCAAGCTCCAAGGATGCCATCAAGAAAAAGCTGACCGGGATCAAGCATGAATTACAAGCAAACTGCTACGAAGAGGTGAAGGACCGCTGCACCCTGGCAGAGAAACTGGGGGGCAGTGCTGTCATGTCCCTGGAGGGCAAACCTTTGTGAGCACCCTCCAGCCCCAGCCTGGAGCATCTGGCAGCCCCAGACCTGCCCATGGGTATTGCAGGCTGCCCCCTTCCTGCCAGACCCGAGTGGCTAGGGGGATCCCAGCAGAGGGAGGGCAATCCCTTCACCCCAGTTGCCAAACAGCCCCCTGACCCCCTGGACCTTCCTCCTCCCTCTATCCCTGACGGTTCTGGCCTTCCCAAACCATTTTTGATCTTGTGATTCCTCTTGGGTTGAAGCAGACCAAGTTCCTCTCAGGCACCCCAGTTTGGAAGGGCTGTATTTTTTTAAAGACACCCCAGTTCCCCACCTGTTCCTCCCTTTTCCCATGCTGCCAAATTCTAACCACAATAGTGACTCTGTATTTGTCTGTTTAGTTCTGTGTATAAATGGAACGTTGTGAAAAAAAAAAAAAAAAGGAAGTACTGCTCAAGCAGTAACTATATTGGAGGTGCTCTGACAGGGACTGGAGAGAAACAGATAAAAGTAAGAAAGGCAGGGGATCCCTGGGTGGCGCAGCGGTTTGGCGCCTGCCTTTGGCCCAGGGCGCGATCCTGGAGACCTGGGATCGAATCCCACGTCAGGCTCCTGGTGCATGGAGCCTGCTTCTCCCTCTGCCTATGTCTCTGCCTCTCTCTCTCTCTCTGTGTGTGATTATCATAAATAAATAAAAAAATTTAAAAAAATTTAAAAAGGCAGTCCATCTGGAGTAACTGGGGACATAGTTCAGGGTGAACATGCTGTCGCCCAAGGAGGAATAAGCAAATAATTATATTTCTAGACAGAAATTGACAAATGTCATTATAGAGACCCAAGTGCTGTTTGGAATATTACTTAACATATGGTGGCGGGGCACCTGGGTTTTATTTATTTATTTTATTTATTTTAAATAAATAAATCTTTTTTAAAAATAGGAATTAGGGCACCCCGGGTGGCTCAGCGGTTGAGCTCTGTCTTTGGCTCAGGTCGTGATCCTGGGGTCCTGGGATCAAGTCCTGCATCAGACTCCCTGCAGGAAGCCTGCCTCTCACTCTGCCTGTGTCTCTGCCTCTCTCACTATGTCTCTCACGAGTAAATAAATAAAATCTTTTTTTAAAAAAATGTGGTGGCATTTACTGTTTTTAAAAGCTGCTTGCACATTCATTATTTGACTGTCCTCATAACAACCCCATGATGTATAATAATTCCTTTTTTTAAAAAAGATTTTATTCATTCATGAGAAATAGAGAGAGAGGGAGAGAGGCAGAGACACAGAGGGAGAAGCAGGCTCCATGCAGGGAGCCCAACGTGGGACTCCCGTGTCTCCAGGATCATGCCCTGGACCAAAGGTGGCGCTAAACCGCTGAGCCACCCGGGGTGCCCTAATTCCTATTTTTAAAAAAGATTTATTTATTTTAGAGAGAGAGTAAGCATGGGGGGGGGGGGGAAGGTGCCGAGAGGGCAAAGAATCTTTTTTTTAATTAAAAAAATTTTTTAAAGATTTCTTTGTTTATTTATTTATTTGACAAAGAGAGAGAAAGAGTGTGCAAACAGAGGGAGTGGCAGGCAGAGGGAAAGAGAGAAGCAAGCTCCCATAGAGCAGGGATCCCGAATCTGGACTCGATCTCAGGACCCTGGGATCATGACCTGAGCCACTCAGGCATCCAAGGATTTTTTTTTTTTTTTTTAAGATTTATTGATTTATTTGAGAGAGAGAGGGAGAGTGGCGGGAAGTGGTAGAGAATTCCAAGCAGACTCCGAGCTCAATGTGGAGCCCTACATTGGGCTCCATCTGGGGCTCCAGGTGGGACTTGATCTCACAACCTTGAGATCACGACCCTGAGTTCACAACCCTGAACTAAACCAAGAGTTGGAGTGTTAACGGACTGCACCACCCAAGGGAGAAGAGAACCTAAAGCTGAGGGCAGAGCCCAATGTGGGGCAAGATCTCATAATTCTGAGTGGAAACCAAGTCCTAGGCTTAGCTGTAGGCCACCCAGGCACCCCCAATTCCTATTTTAAAGATGAAGAAGCTGTGAGGCTCAATGAGGTGATGTGACAGAGAGAAGAAACCAATCTCCTGTCCTCAGATTCTGAACTCCGTGTACTTTCTATAATATACCATGCAACCTGTCTTGAAAAGTACTGTGGAAGTTCAGTTGTAGTGATGACCATTTACTTGCAGGGGCAGGATTTCATCCAGCAAGAACACAGTTCCCAAGAACCCAGATTATCCTCCATCATTTGTGGGCTCTTGTATTGGTTTCTTCACTGCTGTGGGCCTTGCTTTCCTCATCTGGAGAGGGTAACACCTCCTCCACTGTCCTGTGATTCCAGGCAGCCAGTAGGAAGTATAAGCTGACGGTGCAGTCCTATTTGTGGACCATCCATAGCTAGTTTGAAATCCCTGACTATTTGGGGTTTTTGGTTTGCTTGTTCGTGTTTGTTTTTGGTTTCTTCCTGTAGGCCAGTATGTCCTACTTCTTAGCCAACCAAGCTAGTGTGCATTCAGGGAAAGAAAATGAGCTTCACATGGACCTTCACAAGCCCAATTCAGAAAGTAAAATTGTTCCTATGTCACTCTATACTGAAGCAGAATAGTTTTGGAGTTGTCTCTTGAACTGGCTACTGTGTCACTCCTTGCTCCTCCTCATTAGCAATTGCATTCCACCATCTGATCATTCACCTTCCTAAATACCAAAGGGTGCTATCACGTGGGATCTCAAAGACCATGTCTTTATCACACCCAGGGTGGCTGCAGTCTTGCTATCTTAGAATTCCAGTTGCTGGGTATTTCAGTGCCAAATCAACATTTTATGTGGCTGAAATAATAGGATGGAGGCTTTTGATTTGGATCAGTGATACCCAGCCAAAAACTCAAATGCTTCTCTAGGTCATTGTCCCTAAAGTCGATTTTTCAGAAGACTTCAAACTAACAAAATTAAATGGAAGCTGTTCTGAGGTGTTCAAAGATACTTTAGCTGGGGGTCTTTTTTTTTTTTTAAGATTTTCTTTATTTATTCACAAGAGACACAGAGAGAGAAGCAGGCTCCATGCAGGGTGCCTGATGTGGGACTCAATCCCGGGACTCCAGGATCACACCCTGGGCCAAAGGCAGGCTCTAAACCGCTGAGCCACCCAGGGATCCCCTTAGCTGGGGGTCTACTGCACTTTCCGAAGTCCTTTTAGGAGCTCAGCTCCACCTCTTTTGCATTTAGCTTCTTTCAATGTCTCGCACCTGCAAATCTCTTTCTGTGGCTTGACCCTGGCATCAGATTCAGCTTGGATTATCAGATGTGGTTTCTGAGAGATGGGCGTTTCAGGATCGAGAGGGCATTTAGGACACAGAAACAAAGGCAGGGGGAGATAAAGATCCATATAGTCCATGAATGGAAAGAAGCCGCTCAAAGGATGCAGGTAAGACAAAAACCTAATACTGCTCACCTTAGAAA